AGAGGGAGAGAGAGAGAGACAGAGAGAGACAGAAAGAGAGATCCTCATCCAGAATATTTTTTTTTTGCTGCCCTGAAATTGCATTATTTGGATGCTGTTTTTAGGGCTTACTGGAAGGGGTCCTGGGCAGATTTTTAGGGTACCACCCAGAAAATAAGGGACTAACTTTGGGGCTTGTTTCTGCATTTTTTATCAAACAGATTGCCTTATTCAGAAGATTTGCTGCCCTGAAATTGCATCATTTGGATGCCTTTAAGTCAGAATATCATGATCAGGATTTTCCTTCCTCAAGTTCTTATGAACAACAGGAGGTAGGGAGACTTTTGTGCGTGAGTTCAGCGTCCCGAACAGTTCCGGACACGCCCGGACACCCTTGGTGATCTCGTCCGCGACTTTTGTGAGGTCGTACGCGATTTCGTCCGACACAACGGAGTCATACTTGTACTTGGGGTGGTTCTGGACGAAGGCACGGATCCAACGAGCTGTCGTCATCAGTTCACCTGGGAGAAAAAATTATGGATATCGTTGATGATTTCTTTGTAAACAGAAGAAGAACTTTATTGCACGGCAATTGCACAATTACCGGTAATCATAAAATTAAGGTTGCAAGGGGGTCTTGTGGTTAGCGTTGTTATTGCACTTATCAAAAAGAGTAGGACTCCTTCTTAGTGTGAGTGGATCAAACCTTACAGTCAGGTCTTACGCACCTTGCACTACACAAAACTGGTGTGTTATACTGAAAGGTGGTTCATCAGTGATGTGTAACAAAACAAAACAAGCCACCGGGGCCCAAAATCTAATCATTTTGAGGTCTCATCAAGACCTGCCAACCTACCAAATATCAAGACAATCCATCATAAACTCCTTGGCAATGGTAACAATGCCATATTTACCTGATGCCCTTTTCTGGATGAGCCTGAGATACTGCTGTACAGAACACCTGGTGTCCACATCGATGTCGACTGTCTCCAGGTAGGAGTTCATCAGCGACACAAGACCCTGGAAACCGCCAGCCTGCCCAGGAGGAGACAGAAACATACAGAGGAACTTTATTGACACAACAAAAATACAGGGACTTTCGTAAGGTCTTTTAACTACATGTAGACATACAGACAAGCTACATGGGTACAACAAAATTGACCTACGTACAAGAAAATAGATGACTGTGCAGCTGTCAAAGCCATTATTCAGGTAATTGCAGTGTATTTCTGAAGTACTTCAGCACCAAGGACAGACCTACATCATAATACTAGCGTTGCACCAAGGTTTACATGTATGGTTTGGTTTTCCATTAATGCCCACAACCATGATAATGATCATTCTGGTATACTCATATTCACCTAAGTGAAGTGAGGAAAGTTGTGTAAAGTGCCTTTCCCAAGGGCACAAGCTTAAGGTTGGTGACTTGGCAGAATTCGAACCCGGGACCTCTTGGTTCTGAGCCGAATGTTCTGCCATTACGCCACACAACCCCATTTTGTATCTATATGTATGAGAGATTTATGATTTATGTCTAACTAGATGCACGTCTGACCTGTCCGTTGATGATTTCGTTAATTGTCATCTTGGTGTACTCCTCTTGTTGACCAGCCCCGTTATACAGGCTGTAGGGTTTGGCAGCCGCTGGTTTGGGTTTGGACTCCTCTAAGTCATCACAGCACTCATCTGGAGATACAGACAGTGTTAAACAATGATACTACAAGACTCAAATACACAAGAAAACAGTTACTGGAGCAACTGGATAGATTTTTGAAAACTGCCAGACATTTCATGTAGCATCCACTACTTTTCATCAGAGACTGACAAAAGGTTGTGGAAACATCTGACAGTTTTCAAAATCTATCCAGTTGCTTGCATAACTGTTTTCTTGTGCATCCCCTTACATGAATGTCTAACCTTCATTGGCAAGCTTCAAATAGTTTTATCAGGTTTGTAAATCAATTACACACATGTAGAACCAACTGTAGCAACAGTAGTAGTAGGCATCCTTCCATCTCAAGAGATGATGGTCGCACTCTAGGTCCGTGGTTGTGTGCAGTATGTGTAGCAACAGTACAATGTTCACATTAAGAGGTGAAGCCTCTTTCTATAGATCATTAATTTTTACCCCATTTTTCACACACAGTACTTACTCGGTGGCAGAACCTCCTTCCTGAACCAGAACAGCCCCTGTCTGACAGCGTCTCGCTTCTGGGCCTCCTGCATGTTCTCATCAACCTGGTGGGACAAAAGCAACATGAATACAAGACAAGGTTTCTACATACAAGCAACCAATAATTATTGTCAGGATATCAAACATCTGAATCCTATGACATGAAAGTATGACTTTGCCACAGGCACAGACAGCTAGTCTTCACACCACGTTTTCAAGCAAACGTAACACAGTAAATCTCTGTGAAGTTGCTCGGAAATGTGGCGTGAAGACTAGCTGTCTGTGGCACACTCATGTCAGGGACCCCTGCAGCAGTATAATGATTACAATGACTGTAAAATTGTTCATATTGTTTCAAAAAGAGAGAAGATATCTTGTAGATAGACATTTGTAGACATACATCTGTAGCACAGTAATGCAGTTAGACATTACAGTTTGTTCTACCCTTATATCTCAGTTATCTAACTAAGTCAGTGCATTTGGTCCATGTAGGGCGTGAATATGTAAGTTGTCATTGTCAAAGCCTGGGCACTACTTTTTTGTAAGGCAGACAGAAGACCAACCTTGGATATGGGGATGAGGAAGTTGAGGTTGTAAGATAGGATGACTCTTGTCAGAAGAACGATGAACACCACGTAAGCCGCGTTCTCAAAATCTGTCAGTTGAACCTGTAAAACAAACCAAAAAGACTTCAGACTTCCGGGAAGTATTTGTATTTTGGAGTTTGTATTTTTCGTTTCACCCACATTTCCAGTATCTGACACATACACTGCATTCTCAAAATCTCATAGCTGCACATTCCCGAAAGGGAAAAGCAATGTCCTGTTATTGCAGGATGAAGTATTGTTTTGGGTGGCCCTAGTTTATGCTACAATAGGTTTGTATGTTTGGGTTCCAACTGAGATGCACTCTGTTTCTGCCTTATGTTTATACATGTAGTTAAAGAGATATTTTCCTTAGAATTTAAAGTCAACATCACTTTTTTCTCTTTTCCAGTGTAGAGTCATACCAAAGACTTTAAAAAATGGTACATACTGCTTTCTCTGCTTAGCACTCAGCATTTGGGAAAGAGTATGGGAGTTGAACACTGGCCCAGGGCAATTGAAACAGAGATGGGTGCCGCCCTATGCACCACGTGGTGTGGCGAGTTCAATGTGGTTTGCACACTCTACTATCTACAATTCTAACCTCCGTTGGCCTGAACTCCACCCTCCAGCCGATGGGAGAGTTTGGAGGGGGTGGTTTGAACCTCATGGACTGCCAGTTGGTCGACTGAATGTTCTGGGAAGTGAGAAAACATCAAAAGTTAGACTTTCTCCCAAAAATAGTTTCATCAGGTTGGTAAAGTATAGGATACAGTATGAGTTTTCTTGCACACAACCAAATTTTCTCAACTACATGTAGAGTGCTGACGTTTCAGTGTTTTTCAGACATGGCAAGAAGCAGAACTCCAGTCAGAAGCTCTGAGGAAGGTGTCTGATAGACATTGAAACGTAAGCACTTAGGTGAGAAAATTTGGATGTGTAAAAGAAAACTCCTGTATCCAAAAGTTAGACTGTCAGCCATTTCAGCAGTTTCTTGACCTTGTAGATCAGAGCACTCAAGGTCAAACATAAAGTCTCTCTCTCTATACATATAGTATATAGTAGAGGGGATTCATTCCTCAAGCTAACCAACATCTCGCACACACAGTTGTCCCTCAGTAAGACATCTGGAGCTGCATATAGTTCCTGTTAGTTTCTATATATAGTATATGGTCTTAGTGTATAGTGTTGTGTACAGGAAAATAATATGCTTTTGCTAGTCACAAAAGTATGGCCACAGTTTAATAGTACTCTGCTGTCACCGTAGTGCTTGCAGTGTATGGCTGTGGTGGCCAAAGGGCTACAGAAACAGAGATGGGCACTGCCTAAATATCCTGTTTAAAGGTAACACATTTGTTCCAACACAATTTTCTCACCCAGACCAGTCACTCTGGTCTTCTTCAATAGACTGAAAGAGTGAGACTTCGAGTAGCTTCCGTTGGAACAAACGTTTTGCCTTTAAACCTGTAACTTATACGTACCAACACAGATGGACTTGCATGATAAAATAAAGGATAACACAGGTGATCTCACCTCGAAGTGATCTGAATCCTCGTCATCGTTGAGGTGGATCTTCTCGCTGAAGAGTGAGATCGGATCCCGGATAAACAGGTGAGCAAAATGACGAGCAAGAAGCCTGTCAATTCCTGTGGTTCAAAGAAAAGTTGTGGTTGTTTTATAATAAGTTAATGTAAAATTATCCTATTTGTAGATTCAACTCTCATCACCGAGAAGGTACCCTAAAAACTGAACTTAAAAATAAGAATCAGTAAATTAATTTAAAGAGATCTACTAAAAATCAGTAATTCCGAAGATACTGTATACTGAGTCTTCAAGTTTATTTGTCTGCCCTACTAGCTACATGTAGAGTGCTTGGGGTGGTCATTTGGATCATACTTCATTGCTTTTTCAGTCAATTCAAAATCTCTGCAGATCATTCACATATTATATTTAAATTCAAAACTCCATCATTGCCCCAAACATGACATTGTAATTTTGTTATAGTTCTTGATATTTTGCTGCAGCATCCACTTCCTTCATCATACATGTATATTCAAATTTTACTTCAATTCAACCTCCAATTCAATCTCCAATGGGTTGTTTCACTGTTCATGTAACATCCTACAGATTATTGAACTGTCGTTGACCCCTGACCTGCGTCCTGAAGTTGCTGGCAGATGTCCTGGTCCAGAACAAGGTCAATGTCGTTGTACTTCTCTGCCTCCGGAGTCAGGTAACAGTCGATGGAGTCATACCTGGACTTCGGAATCACAAACTTGTCATGCTTCAGGGGCTACAGGGGAGGAAAAAAGATTTTGCGTGGTGAGTTTATTCAATTTGGCATCATATTTTATGATATACTGTACATACGTACATGTACAAAATGTATGACTGGTCAAAATTAACATTTTTTAATATATGCCAGTCTACGATAGCCAGCATGCTACTGAAAAAGGTTGAAGTCTTTTATAGGATGGGTCCCTTGTATGAGGAGAGCCACACCTTGAGCGCATTAAAGATCTCACACATACAGTCTGTCAAAAAGAGTTTGAGTGGTTCAAACCCTACAGTCTGGTCTTACACAGCTTGTACTTAACTGTACAAAACTGTTGTGTTTTGCCTACATTTCAAACCTTACAGTCTCGCCTTACACAACATGTACAATATAAAGTACTTACTGTACAACGGTGTGTTTTGCCTTTTTGAAAGACATACATTTCAAACCATACAGTCTGGTCTTACGAAGCTTCTACTTACTGTACAGAACTAGACAAGTGTGTTAGTACATTTGAAAGCCTATGGTCTACCAGTTCTTTGAAACAAACAAAATCTGACATGTACATGACTTGTAGCTTGTAATAACTGGTGTGTCAAGCCTTTACAAGACAGTCTACCAGTGAAACAAATAAAATTAAAAAAATAAAAATCTGACCTCCAGTCCCCTCTCTTCGCGTGTGCGACAGTCCACGGAGCTGGCGATGATGTTCCACCTACAGTCCACATCCGCAAGGTACCCACGATACACCGGGGCAGCCGCACTCAGCGCCAACTGTGGACAGGGAGAAATAATGGTCAGTGATTGGTCAATAACTGATGATGCAGAGAAATAATGGTCAGTGATTGGTCAATAACTGATGATCTACCACTGTCAGTCGATATAAAATAGCTGATGATGCAGAGAAATAATGGACAGTGATTGGTCGAATACTGATGATGCAGAGAGAAACAGTCAGTGATTGGTCAATAACTGATGACACAGTCGATATAAAATAGCTGATGATGCAGAGAAATAATGGACAGTGATTGGTCGAATACTGATGATCTACCACTGTCAGTCAGCAAAATTATGGTAGAAATACAACAGTAAGAAAAGTACTAAATTTTGGCCCTAGAAACTGCGCTATCTAGGGGGGCCTGCATGCCCTTTTTCGTAAGGCATAATCAGGCCTTTTTACTCTTCGTAATCCATAGGCAGCCTCCAAAAAAAAAAACGTAATTCATAATTATTATAGTACATTAGCTGCAAAGCGTTAAGTCGTAATCAGCTCTGAGACTTTTGTAATCGGCGGCAAAAATTTTGCGTCATTTGTTATCACTAACCCTCCCATGCAGGCCCTCTTGTAGGGCAAGCCGTTCAGACGTTATGTGAATTGAAATTTGGTGCCAACATCAAAAGCTGTGACGAAATATGGTAGAAATGCAGTGCCTCAGACTCAATCTGTTGTGTAACCCTTGAAATATATATTCAAGCAGTTCTACGAAATACAGTAATTCCTGATTTTTTCACGGTACTGTTATGTTCACTGTCATTTCTGTACCGTGAACTTATCATTACAGTTAACAAAAATTTCTGGACTTTCTTTTTCCTGCACCTGTCGCCACCGTGAATAATTATATAGTTCCCCGAACATGTCAATTTTTCTCAGACCGTGAACTTTTGCTACTGTGAACATAAAGTGAATTACAGTATAGCTACTAGACATCATATTTGCTAACGTATATCGGCAGAGCAGAAATCTGTAAGCGTGATGGTGCGAAACAAGGCACTACTGTGCTTCCTACTCGTGGTTTTTAATCATTTACTTCTCGTGTCCGCAGCGGTACCACAATGCCCTCACAGCTGTCGCTCCTTCCCCGTAAAAAATCTGCAGGGAAGGAAGACAGTGTCCTGTCACTGCCCCGACAAAAACTGGGTGGGGTCCCCCTGCAGTTGGATCGGGTATGGAGGAACATACAGCTTCTCTGCATGTCTCGACGCTATACCAACCAACTTCGACAAAGCCACGGTCTCGATCTTCATCAAGCATCTGCGTTCCTCGACCATTTCGGAGCGGTCTTTCCCCAACAGCCCAGAGGTGACGGCCCTTCAAATCGAAATGTCCAACGTTTCTGCGGTTCGACCGGGCGCTTTCCGAGGTCTGCCACTGGTCTCCAGCCTCCACCTTGATGACAACCGAATCTCCAGTCTTGGTACGTTGACAAATATGTGCAGGCCTCGAAATACTGGGTGCATGTGCACCTTAGTGCACCTAAAATTGGAGCTGTGCACCCAATTTTTTTCTGTGGGTGCAACTGGTGCACCCAAATATTTCTCTACATACTAAATGTATACAGGATATTTTTGGAATCTGTCAGAAAAATAAAATCTTTGTTTTAGTAGTTACTGTTACTAGTAGTAGTAGATTTTGAAGCTAGCTCCCATTTCACATTCAAACTCAGAAGAGGAGCAGTAAGACCTGCAATTAGGTTTTGTTTCATATGGTGCACCCAAAACTTATTTTTTAGGAAGGGTGCACCAGTGCACCTATTCCCAAAAATGAATTTCGAGGCCTGATGTGAAAGTAGGTTTTATAGTAGTATGCTAGTAGCCATACAGCTACTTACCAACGAAGAAAATAATGTTATAAATTGTGTAAGTATTAGTAAAACTATACAAGAATTTTATATGTATTATTGACCAATTTACAAGTGTGTATTTGAACCAATCTATAATGTATCATGTATTTTAATCATTATGTGGCACAATTTGTATAATGTTTTGAAAGGGACTGTACGATACTTATCCGGGGGGAGGGCAGGTGCACTGTTAACAGTAAATTATAAGTTCTTCTCTTTATCCTCAGAACCTGATACCTTCCTTGGGCTTGAGAAGTTAAGAGACTTGAACCTTCGAAGAAACGCCATTTCCGTCCTATCCAAGCAAGCGTTCCGTGGCCTGCCTGTTCTGTACAGGTTGAAGTTGGATGAGAACCGTCTGCGTACCGTGCCCGTCGACGCACTCCTGCCGCTGACAACACTGAAGGTTGCAAACCTTCAAACCAACCACATCACCACAATCGACAGCCAAATCCTGCGTCTAAGCCACAACCAGACCATACGTCTGGCGTTATATGACAACCCGCTAAAATGTGACGCAAATCTCACCTGGTTCATCTGTAGTCTGCCAGAGCTGGACTACATTTCTTATCCCGATTTACTGAAGTGTGCGTCACCTGCTAACCTGAGCGGCATTCTGCTTGCCACCGTGAGGAAAGACATCGTCAGTCAGACCAACATGGACAGGTCACCACATGTAAGATGTTTGATGTATATACTAGTCTAGTACATAGCAGTTTTAGAATGTTATTCTTCTCTAGTAATACTGATTCTAGAATGTTTAGCTGTACTCATTGATGTGATAAGTTTTTATGATGTATTTTGTCGATAATTATGCAGATGTATGTGAGATTTTATGCTATCTATTGTAATAATTGGGTACAAGTTGTAAACATTCAACATATTTCATGCACTTAATGTAACATGCCAGTCGATATTCAATAAAATCTGAATCTGAATCATGTACAGGGGATCGGGCTGGGGAGATGTGACGAAACGTCCACCGCAACAGGTCCGCATACCCACCACACCATTCCCACAGAGATGCCGCACACAAACACCACGCCAGGCCCAGAGTCTACCACAGGGACTGACGTGGTCACTCTTTCTGTTGGCCCAATCATCACCGAGGAAGACGACAGTTACCACGTCAATGCCGTCATCATGGCTGTTGCTGTGCCTGTCCTGATGGTGTTGGCATGGGTGGTTGTCATCTACTTGTACGAACGCTGTCAGGACACAGGTCTGGCCCCTCACAACGCCCCCGCTGAAACAGATGGAAACTCCGCCTCTTCGAACAGAGACTCAGTCTCAGGAAGACGGCCGAGTCCTGTTGAGGACCAGACATCAGAGGGCAACGATGACATTGAGCCGTACGCTGTGTCATACATGGATGTGTCGGGGAAAGGGAAACATGGCAAGCTTGCACCATACGCAACAACTTCCTTTGCTAACATTCAGGCAACAGAACCAGACAACAATGACATCCAGCCAAGTGAAGACAATGATGACATTGAGCCGTACGCTGTGTCATACATGGATGTGTCGGGGAAGGGGAAAAATGGCAAGCTTTTTCCCTATGCAACAACTTCCTTCAATGAAGACCCAGGGCCACAGATTCAGCCGTATGCAGTGACCCACGATGAAGACCCAGTATCATTCTCCCAACCAAGGAGCCAGTCACTGCCAAGAGTCCACACAGGGACAGGTTACACGTCACTGACAAATGTCACTAACCAACAGACAACAAACGTCAAACAACCGGCCACCCAAACAAGGCATCAGTCACTGCCACGAGGCTACACAGGGGCTGGTTATACGTCACTGACAAATGTCACTAACCAACAGACAACAAACGTCAAGCTATCGGTCAACAAACCACAGGGTCAGTCATTAAGAAAAGAGGCAGACATCAAGCCAAACTATGAGAGAGGTTGTCCAACAACAAAAGACGGCAAGGGTCCTTATGGATTGGAAAAAGGTATGAAGGAGGTCCCAAGTGTCAGTGGGATGTTGTACAGGAGTGGCACATCTAATGTGCTGTCCATAATAGCTCGCGGACAGCCTGAAAATTTGGACAGCACATCTCCCAAACTGTACAGCACAGCTCAAGGACAGAATGAGAGTGAGAACAGCACATCTCACAAGCTGTACAACACAGCTCAAGGACAGAATGAGAGTGAGAACAGCACAACTCACAAGCTGTACAACACAGCTCAAGGACAGAATGAGAGTGAGAACAGCGCAACTCACAAGCTGTACAGCGCAGCTCAAGGACAGAATGAGAGTGAGAACAGCACAACTCACAAGCTGTACAACATAGCTCAAGGACAGAATGAGAGTGAGAACAGCACAACTCACAAGCTGTACAGCACAGCTCAAGGACAGCGTGAGAAATCTCCCAAACTGTACAGTACAGCTCAAGAACAGCGCCAAAGTTCAGACAGCACAACTCACAAGCTGTATAGCACAGATCAAGGACAGCCTTCAAGGACATGCCCATGACAGCTATACAATCGTAAGTTTCGCTGAAAATGTCATTGAATGATTCTTGTTGTCATTGCTGTCATTAAGTCATTATTCTCAAATTTGCCCTTGACACACCCCTAGTGATTGTGGAAATAAAAAACACTTGATGGCAAACAAATGGACACCTTTTAAAACTTTGTACAGCCACAATATACAAGTCATGTATATATATGCAGGGCTCGAAATTAAAGGTGGTCCAATGGCCACTGGCCACTACAATTTAGGCTGGGACAACTAAAAACTAAGACACTTTGGGACATTTTGGGGACTAAATAGAAAAGTAATCTACATCAGAATGTCAGCCCTTCTTTTGTTTATCAGGCACACATCCTGGCTTTTGGATCTGGAAAAGTCCCCCGAATTTCCTGTCTACTCTGCAATTATAGTGCACCAGGGACTGAACATAAGCAAAATAAAGTTGACTTCAAATTGAAGTCATAACACTACTTCTCAAAAAACAGGTTGGGACAGTTCATCCTCACTTTGGGACAATAATTTGAAATCTATTTTTGGGACAGTGCTGGGACAATAGGAAGAAAAGTCAATTTCGAAGCCTGTAATGTTATATGGCCTCTATAGCCACTGACCCTTGTATATCCATTAAGGTATGTGTGTACAAACCTAGCCTCACCAAACAAGGGTGGGTTTGTCCATATTAGCTTTAGACTTTAGAAGAAGACGTGTAACCAGTATTTGCACTTAAGTGAGCAAATTTGCCGCACCCTATTTTTAGTCTTCAGAGTTTGAGTATTCAAAAACCTCAAGTAGACCATTTTAAATGCCAGAAGTTGAAAGAGTATAGCTTTTAAAGTTGAAAGTCTCTGGTAGCTGTTTTTTAAAGCAAATACTTTGAAATGCATTCATTCAGGCAGACATAACAACACTGATGGTATCTACAACAACACTGGCAGGACAGGAAATACCACCTGCATAATGTACAATGTGTTTGTACATGTAAATAATTGGAGCTGTGCAGGTATTTCTGATGTTTATCTGCACCTATACCTGCACTGGTCCATGTACTGTTATACAAATTGAATGTACATATAGCTGTATGTGGATCTTTATTTGTGCATGTTGTACACATGTAGTACCTAGTACAGTTTTAATCATTGACAAGTGTACAAATGTATTTGAACTGATGGCAAAGGATTTTGAATAGTTTTTAGTGAGATCCATAGTGCCCAAATTCTGAGAGTGTAGGTAAAATTGGTCTGGTGCAGGTAATTTTTCCATGTTTCCAAACACCAACCGAATAAGGTTTTTTGGACTTGGTTCTTGTATGTCTTTCATGACTTTGAAAATACATTCATTTGTTGATTTCTTATCATACATGTGTCACTATGTCCCTGACTCTTAAAAAAATCAGTATAAAATTAATGAATATTAAAAGCTTTCATCATATTATTATAAGTATATTCCTCATACTTACAAAGATAGGGCAGAGTGGAGCCAGTTGGTCATACAGGTGTCTCGCCTCGTCTATGTTACAAGCCTGGAATGTCATCTGCAGGCACGAGCAGCCCATACCGAACCCCATACAGTCCATGTAGATGTGGTCGTCTTTAGCAGCTTTTCGCGATTCTTCGTCACCGTTTGGAAACTTCTCCCTGAATGGTTTTGGTGTGTTTTTGTCCTGGAAAACTAAAGATCAAAACACATTATTAACTAAAATACAAGTGGCTGAGTAATTGGTTTTTTTTTACAGTCCATATAGATGTGGTCGTCTTTAGCAGCCTTTTGCGATTCTTCGTCACCATTGGAAAACGTCTCCCTGAATGGTTTTGGCGTGTTTTTGTCCTGGAAAACTGGATATTAAAATACATAATATTATATTAACTAAAAAATACCAGTGGCAGAGTAATTGTAATGTTTTATTTTTTTGTGATTGCCTTTAGCAAATCCTTGTCACCGTTGGAAAACATCTCCCTGATCATGAATGGTTTTGGTGTGTTCTTGTCTTGGAAAACTGGATGTCAAAAAGATTAACAAAGGTTTTTAGTAAAAGAAAAACAATCTGTACTGGCATTGTTATACTGTAGCGTCTTATTGTGGATAGAATGGAATGGATAATATATTATACATAGCGACATGTTAATGTTAAGAAGAGTAGAAGACATGTACAGTACTTACTTGGTATGTTTATACAGACTTTCTCCCCTCTTCTCTCTCTTATGTTCCTGGTTAAGGTCCTAGAATGAAAAATCATACAATCATTTGGTATAATCAATTTAAAATAGATTAGCAACTTCATTGAAACATGCCTGCAGAAAATGCTTTAAATTAGCTGCATTTCATGACTGTCAAACAAGTGATGTGTGACTAAGAAAGAGAGGAACACCGATAGATACACAGGCAAAGAAAAACAATTATAATTTGCTCCATCTCTCACCTGAACCTGGGATGATGGTTGATTGCAGCATCAGGGAAGAACAGCGAACGTGATGCCGTGTTTACTGTTGGGTTGCACTCAATCTGTGGGTCTGTGAAACCTGGACTGCCAAGCCTGGAATGAAAATAGCGCAAAAATGAATACAAAAAACATCTAGTACATGGCATTTTGAGTAGCATTGCTGATCATATTACTAATAAGTTCTCTCAAACATTTTTTTGTAACAAATAAATGTTCCCCACCTCAACCCAGGTCTATAGTACATTAATGTCACAAAGAAGAAATGATATGAAATTGAGGATTAGGCAAATTGTACTTACCATGAAGGATAATCCCAATTATACCTCACACGAACTATTTGGGTATATCGTTTACCTTATGCAGTATTTCCTATGCTTATCGCTAGGTGGCGCACGTGTACAAAGCTTTAATCGCAAAGCATCACGGGATATCATGACGTAATGACTATGTTCGCCGCCATTTGACGACGTGCGAGAAAGAGTCTGTGCTGTTCACCATGGGTGGGCATTCTCAGCTACTTGGAAGCTGAAGAACAGCAAGGGTGGGAAGATATCCCCAAATAGTTCGTGTGAGGTATAATTGGGATTATCCTTCATGGTAAGTACAATTTGCCTAATCCTCAATTATACCTGCACACTCCCTATTTGGGTATATCGTTTACCTTATGCAGACTTCAGAGCCGTGGACAGCACAGCCTGGCCAAACGTGTGTTGGTTGTTGTCCCTCCTGTAGTACTTCAGGAAGGTAGACTCTCGTGACCAGTCCGCTGCCTTCATGATGCTATGTAGAGACACCCCGGCAGCTGCAGCAGCTGAAGTGGACGCTCCTCGAGTGGAGTGAGCTGAGAAAGTTGCTGTGTCAACACCTGCCGTGCCTAACACTGACTTAACCCACCTGGCCAGGGTTGCAGAACCCACTGGCCTGTGTGGTCTCCTGTACGATATGAACAACTTCTGCTCCCCCCCCTTTCTTTCCGAAGGGAAGAAGTCCGCCTTAGATATTCCTTCAGGTATGTGAAGGCACACAAGCGCCTGTCCTGCGGGAAGGCCGCCCAAAAACACTTTCTGGTCAGGTTTTCCTGGTCTAGAAGTTTTTAGCAGGGTAGGAATTGTCCAAGAAACACCGTTTCTACATTTCTTCATGAATCTCAAGTCGAGAGCCGCTAAAGTTTGACCTCTGTCGGCTGATACCAATGCCGCTAGTGTTACCAACTTATGAGACAATTGTTTCAAACTAAGACTATTAGCTGGGCAACAATGCAGAAGGTACTCTAGGACCCGACTGACGTCCCATGTTGAAACATATCTTGGACAAGGAGGACGTTTGTGAAACACACCTCTCATCAGTTTGGACACTAGAGGGTGACTACCCACATTACAATGGTCTACTGGTAAGTGAACAGACGAGATCGCAGAACGAGCCACCCCAATTGACATATAGCTGTAGTTCTGTCGAAACATCCATTCCAGATATTCTACTACGCTCTCTATAGAACCGCAAACTGGATCAATCTCCCTTCTATCACACCAGCTGGCCCACTGAGCCCATGCTGACTGATACTGTCTAGAAGTACTTTCTCTCCAAGCCGAGAGGATGAGGTCTGAAGCCCCTGCCGAAAGGCCCCGACCCTGCAACTGTCGCCTGATATTGGCCACGCGGCAAGCATCAGATCTGGCAACAGCGGATGGGGTCTCCTGTTGTGTGGCAGGAACAGCAGATCCCAGCTCTGTGGCAGGAGAACCGGACTCTCGAACAACATGTTCAACACCTTGGGGTACCAAGCCTGAGACTTCCAAACTGGAGCTATCAAAATCACTGTTGCTACGTCTGACTGGACTTTTCTCAGTACCTTGAACACTAGGCTGAAGGGGGGAAAGGCATACGCTAGCCCCAGGTTGCCCCAGTGAATGTTTAGAGCATCCACTGCCATGGCCTCTGGTTCTGGGTGCCAAGAGACATACTCCTTCAGCTGAGCATTCAGACGAGACGCAAACAGATCAACTGTCAATGCATTGCCTGTCCAATTGTTCAATGACAGGAAAACTGAGCGGTTCAGTTGCCACTCGACCCTGTCCAGAAAAACCCGCGAACACCTGTCCGCTAGGGTGTTTGTCAATCCGGGAACGTGAGTTGCAGACAACATCAGGCCTCTTTCCAAGGCCCACGACCACATCTCCAGGGCCAAGGCTGCCAGATCCGGCGACCTTGTTCCCCCCATGTGATTCACATATGCAACGGCTGTTGTGTTGTCCAGCCTTAGCAGAACATGCTGAGTATCCGCGCTCACAAAGCTTCTTAGCGCCAGGAAGGCCGCTTTCAACTCTAGCCAATTGATGTGCATGCGCGCTTCTGTCTGTGACCAGCGCCCGCCTGTCTCCTGACCATTGCAATGCGCGCCCCATCCCTCCAGTGAGGCATCTGTGCAAATTGTCAGGTCTGACGGAACAAAGACTCGGCGACCGTTTACTTCGCGCACATGACTGATCCACCACTGTAGATCTTTTACTGCATCTGGGGTTAGACTGACTGAAGAGTCGAATTTTCCCGGCTTCTTTATGCCGAAATTGAGAAGCTGTTGCAGAGCCCGGAAATGTAAGGGCCCGGGAAGAATGGCTTGCTTGGTGGACTCTAACAGCCCCACCACGCTGGCTAGCTGCCTGGTTCCTATCACCTCCTGTTCTAGAAGTGATTGGCAAGAACTCACTACCTTGTCTAACTTGTCTTCTGGTAGGTAAATTGTCAAAGTACGAGAATCGAGAACAAGGCCTAGGAAGGTCGCTACCTGAGACGGTATCAACTGCGACTTTTCCAGGTTGAGAACAAAACCGAGTTGCTCTAGAAGCTCTCTGGCTATAGCAATGTGCTCTAAGCACTGTTCCCTCGACCTTGCAATGATCAGTAAGTCGTCTAGGAAAATTACTATTAACAATCCTTGTCTCCTTAGAATGGCCACAATCGGCCGCAAAACCTTGGTAAATACCCTCGGCGCCGACGTCAGACCGAAGGGAAGACACTGAAATTCCCAAAGAACTCCTCTCCACGAAAAACGAAGGAATTTTCGATCGCTCTGAGCTATTGGGATGGTAAAGTACGCATCCTTTAGATCTATAGTTGCTAGAAAATCTCCTTTTTTCCACAACTCTTTGACTAGGTTTATCCCTTCGAACTTGCAAGTACGTTTCAGAACAAACTTGTTTAAAGACTTTAGGTTTATAACCGGTCTCCAGCCTCCCCGAGCTTTCGGGACTAGGAAAATCGTAGAAACATATTGGCCCTCGCAGGGCTCCACCTGGACCACTGCACCTTTCTCCAACATACTGTGCACTTCCTCGTCTACAACCTTTGCTCTGTCCTCCCCAGATATATTTGTGACCGGCTGAACGAACTGAACTGGAGTGGACTCCCATTCTATACGGTAACCCCGAACTGTTTGCAAAAGCCATCTGTCTGTTGAAATCCTTTCCCAGTTTTTCATGAAAAAAGCTGTTCGCCCTGCGTGCTGAACCGGAGAACAGAGCAGAGTCTGATGACGAGGAAGAGCTACTGTTTGTTTGGGCCTTTTGTGCCCTGCGCTGAACGAAACCCCGAGGTTTTCTTACCCCCGGCATTTGACCATGGTCTAGCATTGTTGTAGTTGTTGTTGTTGTTATAGTAGGGACGAAAATTGTAACCCTTTGAGTTTGAGGAGTACTTGTTGTAGTTATAGTTAAACTTCGAGCGGTTGGACTGAAACCTGTCCCTAGCCCTAGAAGTACTCGAAGGGGCTGGCTTATAAGCCTTACTCAAGGTGCGTCTAGCCTGATCGGCTGTATTAACCTTCTCCAAAAAGGTGTCTCCAAACAAGTATTTGGAAGAACCAGTGGGCAAGTCGGTCTTGAAAACATGCTTCATATCCTGTTTCATGTCCCTGCCGCACAATTCCCTTCTGTACTGAGTCATAGTAGAGGAAGCTGAACCCAAAAAGACCAAGGACGATTCTATCGCTTTACACACAGCATTTGGGTTCAGGGGATGGTCCGAACCCTTAACTGCCGCTAAAAGCTCCACCAGAGGGTTAGCAGCCATGAGCATCTTATCCCGACAATCACTAAAATTCTTATCCGTGTTGACGGTGTCGTTCTTAATCATATTCGCCACTACTGGGTCTAGAATGGGTGCCCGAAGCGCTAACTCCACGCTAGGTGGAGTTGGAAAAGCTTCCTTCCTCTCCTTGAACTCCGCATACGTTAATTTATGAGTAAAGACCTCGGTCAAAAATGTAGCGACTTGCTCGGGAAGTTCAGATTCTTTCCCTTTCTTATCGTAAGGATTATCGAATGACAAGGAGTTACTAGTACCTTCATCAGACTCTTCAGAGTCCGAAATGGTGATTTCCCCCTCCTCCGAACACTCTTCCACTTCCGAACCTGGATGCTTGCGCCCGGAACCGACTACGCCGGCTCGGCTGGTCGACGCTACCGCCCCGTCAACGTCCCGAGGTTGGCGGGATGAACTGGACGCCTGAGGAAGTCCCAGGCTGGAACTGACCCACTGAAGAAAAGAGGCAGCGTCGAATCCAGGCGGGAAGGGTGTTCCTGGTGGAGGTGGGGGTGGAGGAGACTTTTCCCGACCAAGCTTCGGCATGGTCGGGGAGCCCAACTCCTCCGAGCCCGGAGGAATTTTTGGGGCCGGGGCAGCTCCGCGCCGTCTCCTTCCTTGGCCGATTTTCCCAGTGCCAACGCCGAAGGGGCATTTCGCTCCACTAGCGGCGGAATGAGGTTGGGGTTCTTCTCTTTTCCCTCCGAACCTCCAGCTGTAGGAGCGGGGACTTTTCGTTCACCCGACTCCTCTTCCTCCTGTCCGGAGGCAAGTACAGGCACGCCTGTCTTTTCCACGGCAAGGAATTTTGCCTGCCTAGCGTTGGGAAACTGACCACTTCTCTTGCCATTCCGACCTGTCTGGTCCTCCGAAAGGCTACCTGAATCGCCCCCGTGGGCAGAAGACTTCGTTTTATCCTTCTTTTTGGGCATAACGCCGAAAGAAAATCCGAAAAAATAAGGAGTAGGGAAACAACGTGCACCCCTTGGCGTTCGCACAAGGAAAATGGCGGCGAACATAGTCATTACGTCATGATATCCCGTGATGCTTTGCGATTAAAGCTTTGTACACGTGCGCCACCTAGCGATAAGCATAGGAAATACTGCATAAGGTAAACGATATACCCAAATAGGGAGTGTGCAGGTATAATTAAAGATTTTGAATGAAAGTTCAATCATGACAGAGGTAGATTCTGTCTTTTCGCCACATTTGATTCACTCCTGACATCATCACACTTCCGACTTCCAGAGTCAGCGAGTGGATCACTCATCTGACAAAGGTTGACGGGATTGACCAAAAATTTATGGTGGGTTTCTTTCTTGTGTTGGAACAAAGCTTAACTTTGGAACTAAAAATTAAATGACTATTTACCTTGGAAAGACAGTGAAAGAAATGGCAGTTTCTCCCAGGTTCTGGTCTAGTAGTGACAGCAGCTCTTCACGCCTGAAACATACAACAGTAAATACAACAACAACACAGGAACATTAGATTAATAATAAAACATCACTTCTATCCTAGTATCAGACATCTTTTTATTCACTGATGACAGTGGCTTACTGTTACTTTTTACTGCTACTAAATTGGAAAACAAACAACAAAGAGAACAGAGGATGGGGCATTAAAAAATATACTTACAACCTATCATCTAAACACATATACATCAATAATTTTGATGATTAATGTTTCTATATTCTAAATTTCCTGAAAAATCACCTTATCATATGAAATATTCAATAAGCTTTACTATTTTCTTACTAAAACACAATGTGCGTATCTTTATAATTGCTAGAAGAGTCTTTTTATAAGTTGAATGTGGAAAAGAGTGTATTTACTCACCTTAACCTCATGTTGGACTCGACCATGTTGAAGTGCCCCATGAGCCCTCCGTACGGCTTCCCTGGTGTTCCTTCTATCATGTAGCTGGCGTACTCTGGCCTCCAGGTGGTGGGGGGGTCACTGTGCATGGGGCAATCAACTTCTGGTTAAACTTCAACATGCTACTAGTAAGGTGGCCATTTGGCACCTCATCTATGTATGTATTGGATATGGCGTAGGTAACAGAGGGAAGTTTGTTGCTTTGAACTATCAGTTACATGTATATGGCTCAAGTTCATGCACAACATTTGAAAACAATGTGCAAACGGAAAATTACATTGTACTTTGTACATGTAAGACTATAAAACTCATCAATAAGAGTAGTATGCATTTAGCTACTTCTCTAATTTGAACATAACTGTTAACACATCTTACTGGTGAAAAAGATCATGGGTGTAACTTTACTTCTGGATATAGAAGGGAAAAGTCTTGGCCTTGTTTCTCGCAAGGGATGAAGAGGACAAGTAAGTAAGTAAGTATACTTTACTTTGGACTTTCTTGCTCCCGCTTCTCCAGTATTTCCAGAACTTCGTTTCCCCTCAGATTCAGGCGGGCCGTCTTGTTGTCTTCATCCATAACAACCAGCATGTACTCCACCTAGCAACGAGACATAACAGGGTGGAAGTTAGAGAAAGAAAAATGCTACAATCGATCAATAAATCAATCAATCAATCAATCTTGGTTGTCTTCATCCATAACAACCAACATGTACTCTACCTAACAACCAAACACAGGGTGGAAGTTAGAGCAAGAAAAATGCTACAATCAATCAATTACTCAATCAATCAATCAATCAGTTAATCAATCAGTCAATCAATCAATTAATTGATTCTGTTTATCAAAGGAAAACATATTGTTTTTGCTACGTTTCCTCCTCTTCTTCTTCTCTAAACAGTGACCCCTGACCTGACTGAACCAGACTGTCTCTCATCATGGTAACTGGTGTTGGGTTACATCATGTTGCAATTTTATAGCAGGAGGGATTTAGACTCCTGTCACCATATGTATGACTGTGTTTGTGTAAGAATTAACAGAGCAGACCATATGCGAAGGTAAATATTATGCATATAATTGCTTTGCAAATGTCACTTTTCTAGTTATACTGTTAAATCAGAAACAAAGGCCCTCTTCCCACTAGGATAAAATTGTCTGGATCAAGCTGAATAGATTGGCTTTGATTTGGCTTCAATCCAGATAATTTTATCCTTGGCTAGTTGCCATTAAAAAACTTAAACCTTTTAAAGCTGTATTATAAACAATATTAATGTCAACACATCTTTTGACTCAAAACTCATAAAATCGATATCATTACCTCTCTTTTACAATACTGTAGATCATAAAATACTTGTGATGGTCTTATTTTGTGTTAGGAGGGTAAGAGTCCAGGTTTGTATTATGCTTTTAAACAATTCTAGTACTTAGTACATGACAGTAGTCATACTAGTAAGACATATTTGTGATGGTGTAACAGTGCGGGGTTTATAGGCACTACCAACTGACCCGGCCAATGGGTCTAGACCTTTTCGCCAATTTGGTAGGAGCATCAGGTTATGAGCTGGTGCCTTGGTTTGGCGTGGGTTTGATCCCCGGCCCGGGACAAGGAGTGTCTTTCTGTTTCTACTCTCCTAATTCTTACAGTGTTATGAATTCTTCTTGGACAGATTAGCACGAAAATGAAACAACTACAACTGTTTCACAGTTTACAGTACACACATGGCATGCTTAACCATACTTAACACGCTTAACCACAATTAGGGGGAGGGGCACTTGTTTTCACACTGATGTTTACACAACACAGACTACAACTGCCTAACCCTAGCCTGAGGTCACTCCTGTTTATATCTATTTGTTCAACAAATTACCATAAAATTGTAAACTTTTACAAGTCTTTTTCTGATTTATTTTTTCACTGTTTGATGAATAACCTATGGTATTAGTAAAGCAAATTTACTAAATTTAGACTTTTCATGCTATTTTGAAACCATCAAACTTAAGCAGGTTTACAGTATTTTGCCTTCTCATGCCACTAATAACATGTTAAGGCCTAGGGAAAAAAATGTTGTGTTTCCTGTTTCAGTCCTGAAAAAAAGTAGGGTCAGTAGGCAGGGATTTAATAGTAATTTTTCAGTGATATATTATAGGGGTCCAACTTATACAATACAGTTCAACGAACTAAAACAAAGCATGAGTTGTTAGAAAACATGATGATTTTATTTTGCCTTTCAACGTCTGCTTGGAGATTAGGTTTCAAACCCTGAATGACAGATTGAGTATGAATGGATTTTGAGTGACACCAGCGAGGGCTCCATTACACAACAAGGGAATGTGATGCCAGCATGGTAAATGGATGGTTGTGGTAGGGTTGAGATCAGAGAACAAACAGATCAGAGGGACATTGAGACTCCGGCTATGTCACGGTCTGGTGGTGGACTAAAGCGCCCGTCACACATTCAGAAGTTCAAACCTTTCCCTAACCACCAACCAAACAAGGCTTAAGTTCAGGAGCAGTCTGACTAGATTTAGAACGTTCTTCTTTCGTCCAAAATTTCTTTATGAATAGAATCAAATTTGAGTTAAATTTGAGCCAAACTTGACAGACAGTGCTGGTGGACTAAAGCCCCAGTGACACACATTCAAAACCTACCGACTAACCAAGGACTATAAGCTTTAAGTTCAGGAGCATTCTAACTAGACTTAGAATTCGTCAAACTTTCTATACAGTAGTAAATAGAATCGAATTTGAGTTAAATTTGAGCCAAATTTGACAAACACTGCTGACATACTCCAGAACACCAGCCAACCATGGCTGAACCATGATGCAATCACATTGAAACATTTTGAATATTACGTAACAGCCCAACAGTCAAAGTCGACATCCGCAAACACCAGCTAACCTTGCTCCTGACCTACTCCTTACTTATAATTGTAGTTGCTGGACCGGTTCCAGACTTGTAAAATTGTTTAGATTCCAAGTCCAAAAAAAACCTTAAAGTCAAGAACCAATTCCAGCTGCAGACTTAGTAAAACAAACAAGTCACATACCCCTATTCTTTCCAAAACAGCAAAAACGCTCCATAGATTGCAAAATCTGTGCATACAACATTGCAAGGTTGCCAACATGCAATTTTGTATGTGCCATGGGTTTAGGTCCAGACTTATAACTACGAGTCCGGAACTGAACCTAAACCTCTGGACTTAAATGCAGTCCTAAACCTATTTTTTAATGTGGGTTTAGGTACACAGCACTACTCCTAACCATGGTTGGGGGGAGTTTGGTAGTGTTCTGGAGATCTTAAGTGTGACAGGGGCTTTAGTGGACAAAGACGTTTTTGGAGACAAAAAATACAACACAATCAGAGCATGGATAGTTTACAGTCAAGCAGAAACATACACAATGGATTGAAAATAAAAGAAGGGAGAAACACACAGAAACTGGCAAAACTTCCTGATGAACAGAGTGTATTTCTGAGATGTACGTGACTGTATTTCAAGCATGTTATGCAAGTGAAACACTTCTGTAGTACAGATTCTTGTCACGAACTTGTAATACAAACACATATTTTATTTGCTGAGTCATGGTTATATGGCATACTAGAGGTCGCCTCGAAAACTGTAAAAATAAGGCCACTGCAAACATTATCAAATTTACAGTACATACAAAGAGGTGTTTGTTCATAGTCTGCAACATTCCTGCAAATCATTGGATGTGATTTGTAACGTAATTTAAGTGTAAATTATGTCCACCATTTTTGCAGTGGCCTGCTCTCCAGAGAGCACTTAGTATTAGTCAAGGCAAATTTAGAAAACATTTTGATGGTGAATTTTAATATTTTGTGAAACTGAAATTTGAACTGTTTTTTTTCTTTTGTTTCTAGATTTTGGCTAAAATGATCCAACAAATAAAGTGTAGCAATGCATCGTGACTGTTGCAAGGACCCGCCCACCTGTTTGCTTGTGGACAAATGTTTCACTTGATTTTCTGAAGACAAAATTGCTGAACTCAAAATGTGTTACATGGCGTTTCAGAATTCAGAAGATGTTAGATCGAAAAATTATATATTGTCGATCAAAAAAACAAGGCTAGACTCAGCAGATTTTTGCTAGGGTCAGTGGGGAAAAGTGGAAACACAACTTTTTTTTCCTAGGCCTGGCGTGGTCGGGGGGTAATTATGTGTTCACAATGTTGAAAGTGATTTAGGATATAGTCACGAGACTAATTATTTCTTCTTGTTCCAATTTCGTGCGAAACCTCGATTGGCTTAAGACTATCAACCCAGATTGAGGGGGGAGGTGCTTATAGTAATTAGTTTTGTAACATGTGTTGTCTGTTCAAGAGGACCAACTCTAGCCTGGCCTCCTGTGCAGGCCTACGGGCGAGCGACTGGGAGGGTTTATACTGCGTTTTGTAGAATTTCAAAATCTTACAAATCAAGTACTACAACAAAAAAGATTTTACCGGTATTATTTTTCTGACATTTAGATGCCAAGAATATCCTGTATGGCTACAAACATATTTAGGTGCACCAGTGCACCCACAGAAAAAAATTGAATGCACAGCTCCAAACTTGGGTGCACTAAGGTGCACATGCACCCAGTATTTCAAGACCTGTTAAGTCATCGAAGATATTTCTAAATTTTATATCTTGTCCACGCAATGAAATAATAGGTAAGCTACCTTGTACCTACTACATGTACGAGAAATTTTTTTCAATCTAATGATCTCCTAACCTACATTTTCCAAACAATTAAGCATTTCACTACATACATGTGTAAAAACAAGCATGACATAGCAGAAATATGTTGCATGTGTAACGTTAAAATAGAATACCTGTGAAAGGAAATTTTTCACCTTTCAAAGCAACATCAATGTTGATTCAATAACATTTGAATTAAACATAAAATTTGTCTAGGGAAATCTTTTTGTTACCGTTTCTTGTCAAGTGGTTACTAGGGTATTTTTACAGGTGATTGAGAACAACATTTGGCCATGTGTGACATTGCCTTTAACTACAACTAATCTAGAATGATCTAGAAAGCAGATACGTACATGTAGCTTAGAGTAGACCTACATTTGCTTCTGTCTTTTAGTGTTTTTCTTTTCAAAATCATGTAGTTTTTGGGCAGAACTCAACTTGGAGTAAGAACTTTAAGGTACAAAATCAAGACAACTCCCCTTTTTAGTTTTAACGTTACATACAGCGTTTTCTAAGAAAAGACTGGCGTAGAAAAAACACGTACCACCGGAAGGACTTCCGTTTTAGTTCTAAGACGAAGCCAGAGTACAAGGAAGTCTAAGGAAGCCCAAAGCAGTATCTTAGCCTCTACCAGGCACCGCGGATCGCTGGAAAAATAGTAGAAATTGGCCGAAATAAAGGTATATAGTATACCAGAGAAGATCCCGGGCCATAGAATACCCCCGTTTGTCACAAATTGGATCTTCTATGGCCCGGGATATTCTCCGGTATACTATGGTTTATTTCGGTCAATTTCTACTCCAAGTGTCTTACGGAAGTTTCTTACCTCGTCTCCCCATTTCAAGACGTCTCCATGTCGATCCTTCAGTCGCCGGTAGATGTTTATAAGTTGTTGTATGCCGTGTTTTCGGACATGGTCGGCGAATTTCTTCGTTTCTTCCCAACTTAGGGGAGATCCCAAAGACAACAAACCCATCTTAAGAAGGTGTCCTTTCTCTCCTTGGTGCCCCAGAAGTTGTCTTGCCGCTCTTAAGGGTGGCAGGCCGTCATTTGGAAGAATTGAAGCATGTCTTAAGACAATATGATGTCAACACGCGCCATTATTAGGGCAAAGGTCATACACTCCCGAGCGCATGCGCACGAGGTATCCACAGCATCGGAACGCGAGGAAGTCATTTCTTAGTAACCAAGCAGATGCGGGGTTTGGGTTTTTAAACCCTTTTTTGGTGCATTTTGTACGTGTTTGAAATGGATTTTGACGTTTTCTACCCATTAGAAAGATGTAAAATACCCCGAAAAAGATGACGTCGAGAAAAAGAGGTTATTTACATGTGCTTTTTTAGACAACTATTCAATAATGACTCAGCGATTTGTACTACTATAATTAATCAAATACTGTCAAAACAGTTCTCGTGGCTTCTAGAAGAGAACACAAATATGATGCAAACTAAAAAAAAAAAACTTTAAGCCACTGATGTTTATTTTATAATGGTCAACCTTACAAACCACAGTTATGTTCAGTTTATTCTTTAATACTCAAACACATTCATATATAACTGTTATATATAATTGCCGATGGCTGCTCTGTCACTTAATGCTACATAATGTAACCCAACACCACAGGGTGTCTTCTACAGCGTCAGTTACCATGGTGACAGCCGTTTAGTCAAGGCCATTGACCTTATTTGTTTGGAGAAGCGGAAATCGAGCAGAAACAATTTTTTTTCCTTTCACAAAGCCAAAGGTGATCATATAATAAACGGATAACTCAATGTTTCTAAGGCTAAACACAAATAAGATGCAATTCTATTTCTTTTAAATTAAAAAAAAACTGACTCAGAGGTAAAAACCATTTGCAGACATCACATTCAATATGGGAATGTAATAATGTAACAAATTACGTGAATAGATATATAAAACTGAATCTAAATTCAAAATCACAATCATTAAACCAAATCAACAGTTACAATACATGAGTCATTGGCATCAGGCTATAGTAAAAGTACATTTCTGATTTCTAAGCTCAAATTTTCATCAGTTATTCATAAATTTATGGCACTCTGCCATCCTATTGTTGTCATAGTCTTATGAGACTGACTGACTGAGACATTTCTGTTGAAATAGAAAAAGAAAAATAAATACTATGAATACAAACACAGCCTTTCTGGTCACCAAACTACAAGAGATAATGACACTTAAACTGTTCTCCAACTCAAGAAAAATGACTCACCATGAATTTACTACTAAATTAAAAACTACTAAACATTTTGGGACTTCATGCAAATGTTATGTCCAAATGAGTCATTGGGACAAACTTTTCGATCTTACATCCAAATTTCATCCAAGGGTCTTCTGAAGTTTTGAGACAATTTTCTGCAGTGGCGGTGAGACCTCAGTCTGTCGTCAAGCTGGAGGAAGCCATGCTGCAAGAATTGAAGAAATTTACGACATGAATGTCTGCGACACGATTTGTTTCTTTGTAAGGTCATGTTGATTTGATTATATGGATGACATCTGCGCGCGCATGTCATCCCCCCCTCCAAAAAAAACGTTTTCAACCATACTGGAAATCGTACATCCGTGAATAGTTTCATCAGGTTGGTAAGACACTGAGTAAAGAGGCTGTTTTTACACAACCAAATTTTTTTTTATTCAGCCGACGTTTCGGTGACCGTCTGTCACCTTCCTCGGGGCAATTCTGACTGGATCACTTGTACATTTGTGATCTGTGATCAAAGAAGCCACGTGACAAGCTTCACTGGGTCATTCTACTGAGGAAGACCAGAGTGACTGGTCGAAAGCTCTAGGTGAGAGAATTTTTTGTTTTGGAACAAAAGCTTTAACTTTAAACATTTGTGATATGTGTTTGCATCTGTAGCTAGCAGCGACACCTGTGCTGCAGTGCAATGTGAACCAGTCAGAATTGCCTGAGGAAGCACAGACGGTCACCGAAACGTCGGCTGAATAAAAGACCTGCTTGTTTAAAGCGTCTCTTTACTCAAATAGAATTTATTGTATGAATTACCTGGGTTGTGCTGGCAGAAGAAGGGTTGTTTCGCGTCGCAATGGACGCTCCGCCACTTTCCATCTGGGTAGTCAGCAATGACGCAGAAATGCCTCCTGTTAGGTTGTCCAGGGCCCCAGGCATTGTAGCCCCTATCCCCAAGCACAGCCCCATCCGCATATATATACCTAGGCCTTTCATATCCATTGTGATAGTGCAGGCCGATCCAGTAAGAATGAGTTGTGACCTTATCTTTTTCGACGCCCAAAATTTTAAACAAGCCTGATAAGGTTTTTTTGGCATATTCGTCTCGGGGCATGGCCAGGATACCACAGCCTCCACTATCTTTCCGACAGGTCTCGACTGCTTCGCTGAAGGTTTTGGGTGTGGTGAAGAGCTTGTAACACTTTACACGCCACTGTACATAACCATCAGATGGACAAGTCACTGGACAAAACGAAACAAACAAACAAATAAGCGTGTTAGTATGTGAGTGAGTATTGTGGGGTCGTGTGGCGTAGCGGCAGAGTGCGCGACTCGGAACTAAGAGTCCTGGGTTCGAGTCCTGACATGCCACCGATCTTGTGCCCTTGGGAAAGGCACTTTACACGACTTTCCTCACTTAGCTCACCACGTCTGGTGATTACATGTTGGAATAAATAAAAAAAAAGTATGTGAGTGATTTTTCTAGTCGTTAGATATTCATGTCTTTAAGATGAAGCAAATGCATAATGTTTACCTTCACATGGTCTAGCCGTACAAAGTACTACCCTGTCTATTCTTTCTCAAACACATCCAATACTACAGGGTGTCTGCTACAACACTGGTTACCATGGTGACAGACGTCCTGTCCAGGTCATTAACCTTATGCGTTTTTGGAACGGAAGAGGAAACTGAGAATATGTTTTCCTTCTGAGAATGGGAAAAAAGTCTTGATCTAAAGGGATGTGTAATTACCCCCTTTTCTGGATGTCTGGATGATAGGCCCAGGGCAAGCCTGCCCTATGGAGCCCTTTTCACCAGGTGGGCCAGGGGGCCCAACAGAGCAAGAGCCAGCTAGCCCCATGGCCCCCTTTTTACCAGGAGGGCCAGGAGGCCCGATAGGCCCAGGCCAAGCGGGCCCTATGGGCCCCTTTTCTCCAGGAGGACCAGCGGGCCCCCTGGCCCCTTTTCACCAGGTGGGCCAGGAGGTCCAACAGACCAAGGACCAGGTGGCCCTATGGGCCCCTCTTCTCCTGGAGGGCCAGCGGGCCCCGTGGCTCCCTTTTCTCCTGAAGGCCCCACGGACCCCTTTTTTCCCGGAGGGCCAGTCGGCCCCATAGGCCCCTTTTTACCAGGAGGGCCAGGAGGCCCGATAGGCCCAGGGCCAGCTGGCTCTATCGGCCCCATATTTGCTTGGGGTCCACGAGGCCCGACAGACACAGGCCCGACTGGCCCCCTGGCCCCCTTTTCTCCTGGAGGGCCGGCTGGCCCCGTGGTTCCCTTTTCACCGGGAGGGCCAATAGAGCAAGGGCAAGCGGGCCCTTTCGGTCCCATATTTGCTGGAGGTCCGGGAGGACCAGCCGGCCCTATTGGTCCCATTTCCCCTGGAGGGCCCCGAAGTCCATTCGATCCTGAAAGATATAAAAGAATAGTTTTATTTTCATGACAAAGATTCCAGGAGCTCATAGAATTTTACCACGAAACATTAGTAATGAATATAATCATAGCAAAGTACAAGTTATACAAAATAAATGATCCTGAAATGATTGTTACATTATTTTACTTACGGATTAGCTCAGCTAGACGCAGTTCAGTCTTCCCAGTCTTACTGTTCAGCTTGAAAATCTCTTCATAGTTCACGGTGCTTACAACTGTTTATAAAAGAACAGCTCGCACTAAGTTTATAAGCACATAAGAAAGACATCGCCCTCGCATGGCATGCTCCAGCGTCCGCCATGAGAGACATGCTGGTACTGGAGTGACTTAATCTGCAGATTATATATGATTTTTATTGAATTTGATCACATGAAGATCTAGTAGCAGACCATCCATCTTTTATAAAAACATTAGGCCCAAATCTCTTGGTAGTAGATATGGTGGGTGGTGTACGTATATGATACGCCACCAAAAAATTCTACCACCTACAATATCCAGGACAAAAACCAATGCACTACCAATTTGAATCACCAGGAGGCGCAAATGTCACATTGACCTTTGTCTTTACAAGACCTACCCAAGACCTACCCAAGACCTACCACCAGATATCATAACTAGCTACAAAGTCCTTCTTAACTTAATTCAATCACAAACATGTGGAAACACAGACAAAAAATACCTCCGTTTTCCATTGAGGCAATAAAACACATTCTCTCCATAAGGCCACAGCAAGTAAATTTTATGGTTGACATCCTCCGCAGACTTCAAATCTAATGCGAGCGGCCGGAACAAAACAAGGTTCCTACATTTAAAATTTTGACTCAAGCATTGTACAAATGGTTTTGATTCAGAACATCACATATACACAGCCAACATCACATATGACTGCATTAAAGTAAGAAACAAAACATTAAATCAGAGTCTTTTCTTGTCTCCTCTCTTCATAGTTATCTGCCATCCACCTTCCGACATAACAACAGACATCTTTGCCCATTTTCGGCATGTTGACCACTGTCAGAGGGCAACAAAATTTCTTTCTTTTTTTCAAAATCAGGTGAAAATTGATGCCCGCGCTGATGTCATCCATAAAAATTACTTGCTGTGGCCTAAAGTGATAACTAACCTGCTAAATATGGCAGCATAATGGCATTGACCACGACAAACACGACGATGGTGATTTGCCACATCTTCTTGCACAGGCCCCAACATTTCTTCCACATGTTGTTAGCTTCTTCATCGTAAGTCGCATCTAAGAAACACGTTTGAGTTAACCCTAATTGGGCCAGGGGGATGTCTATCTGGTCCTGTCCTTGGTGCTAGATCTACTATCACCGTCTATCTAGTCCTGTCTTTGGGACTAAAAGTCTAAAGGATTACAGGGAAATACATCTATAGAAGCGACACCTGTGCTGCAATGCAATGTGAACCAGTCATAATTGAAAAGACTTGGTTGTGTAAAAGGAGTTTCATTACTTAGTGTCTTACCAACCTAATGAAACTATTCACGGATATCTATCTGGTTCTGTCCTTGGTGTTGGAAGGTCTATGCGTAGCGCCAGCGACAAAAAGACCCCATAGTCTATCTGGCCCCGTCCTTGTACTAAAGAGTATATCTGGTCCTGTCGTTGGTAACAGATGGTCTACCTGGTCCTGTCCTTGGCACCTAAATGTCTATCTGGTCCTGTCCCTGGTACTTAAAAGTCTATCTGATCTTGTCCTTGGTACTAAAAGTCTATCTGATCCTTTCCTTGGTACTAAAAGTCTGCCTTGTCTTGTCCTTGGTACTAAAATGTCTATCTGGTCCTGTCCTTGGTACTAAAATGTCTATCTGGCCCTGTCCTTGGTACTAAAATGTCTATCTGGCCCTGTCCTTGGTACTAAAATGTCTATCTGGCCCTGTCCTTGGTGCTAAAAAGTCCTGTCATTTGTCTATCTGGTCCTGTCCTTTGCACTACAAAGTTCTGTCCTTTGTACTAAAAAGTCTATCTGGTCCTGTCCTTGGTACTGAAAAGTCTATCTGGTACTATCCTTGGTACTAAAAGTCTATCTCGTCCTGTCCTTGGTACTGAAAAGTCTATCTTGTCCTGTCCTTGTACTAAAAAGTTTATCTGGTCCTGTCCTTGGTACTGAAATGTCTATCTAGTCCTGTCCTTGGTACTAAAAGTCTATCTGGTCCTTTCCTTGGTGCTAAAAGGTCTATCTGGTCCTTACCTTTGTGCTAAAAGGTCTATCTAGTCCTGTCCTTGGTACAAAAAGTCTATCTGGTCCTGTCCTTGGTACTAAAAGTCTATCTGGTCCTGTATATTGAATGGTTTATTGTGCGAATACAAACTCATCGCAGCTTATGAGCTGAATTGCGAGTTCATGTACATATAAAAATTTCACAAGTTGACATAAACAATCGCTCTAAAAGTTTACAAACTGCGAACAGGTGACAATACATATTTAAAAGATGGAATACATATTTAAAAGACGCAATGCATATATAAAAAGGTACGATTACATATTTGAAAGATACAAATTAATTATCAAAGATACCAATTAATAATCTAAATGCCACAATTTTCTAAACTAATGTTTAGGTCTATCTAGTCCTGTCCTTGAAAAAAGTCTATCTGGCCCTGTCTTTGGTACTAAAA